CAGACTGGATCCTGCCTGCCAGGTAAGTCACGTTTGATATTGGGAGCTACCACAGACACCTACGATACTCATTCGCCGGCACCTCCGACCTTATGTGGCATATGGCGAATTGTACGATCTCCTTATAAATCTAGCAGAACTATCAGCTTAACAGTGAGACCCCATTAAGACATTCTAAAATCAAAAACCTGATGAAACCGCATGGTAACGGTACAACACCTGTATAGACCCTACTACAACCCTTCGGATCGCCTGTAAGGCTGCTGCAGTTCTCCACGGTCAGAGCACCGCCTTCTATCAGCAGACCACCGCCGACAGACAGGGCTCCACCACTGCTGTTGCTAGCCTGTTGGGTTTGGGGCTTTAGGAGGGCTTTCGGATTTAAGGTTTACTTTTTTCGGCTGAGGGTCCATTGTCTTTGCATTGGGGCTTCGAGTGTTTCCGGTTGTCAGAAGTGTAGAGAGCAAAGCCGCAAGCAACTCCGCCTTGTTGTGACAGTTGATAAATCTGACGTCGGTATCGCCATCCGAACCAAGCACGAGGTGGCTTCCCACCATCACACACGATCCTTCCAGTTGATCTGCGCCCTGAAAAGCTAATGCTCCGTCGAAAGACACGTTGCCAGGTCCTGTCAAAATACGAAGCTCTTCCAGAAAAGGGCATGACCATCCCTGGTTGGAGATGCATAGGTCTTTAAACGCGGAGCTATCACTACGTCACTATATGCTACATGGATGTGCCAATAAACATGATTCATGACCATAGTTGCCATCGAAGGCCCCCTCGTACGAGCCACAACCCCCGCCGCAAAAGCAGGCAGATCTGCCCGAATGTCAGCACAGCCCCTTTACTTGCTTGCAAAAGGAACATATTCCTGGGGCTTAAGGTTTACTGATGTTCAAGATGATTCACAGCACGTTCCATCGCCGTTCCAAGATGAAGAAGCTTGCGGTGGAGGAGAGAACATGATCGTGTACAACGCAGAAGGCACGACCAAACCACAGCAACGGCGACAGCACCAACGGCAACATCAACGTCGACATCCTCGAGAACAACCATGGCAGAGAACAGAACGACAATGACTATGCAAAGTACAGTCATCTTGCCAGCAGGTTCTTCGTCCCCTGGCTTGTTGCAGCTTGATTAACCTTCACACAAACAACAAATTCATGCATGCCCTGAACCCCTATATCATGAAGTCTTTAAGTACTAGGTTCGGAAACGACCTAATCCCATGACTGCAAGTTTCAGAAGCCTTGTGAAACTCCAGACAAGCTTCACCGAGTCACAACAGAAGCTGAATTTGACCCTGCACCACTCCACAGCCCCAGTTTTTTTGGCACTCCTATGAACTGCAAGGGCGCGCTCAGCTTGATCGTGGCGCGGCCGTTGTTGGGGGCCGTCGGGCCTGTAAGGGCTTTGTGCTCCGAGTTTCGGGTTTAAGTGCGTTCTGTTTTGAGTCTGCGGGGATTCAGGGTCCGGGTCCTACAGCTCTGAAAGCCCGACAACTCCGACAACTCCGAACGCCCGTGCAGGTGTGATCTATAGACCCCAAGTTCCTGAATCGCTCCGCATGCTGCAACTCTAAACACCAGAAACTTGAACACACTTTGAACTAGACCCCTGCCGTGCCTCTTAGACGACAAGGTCCACGAATCTCAGTTGCCTCCTGGATGCTATAGGTGCCCGTCTTGAGCTCCAAAACACCTTCTCAGGTGCCCCGTGCTTGGGTTACCAGATGAGCGGAAAAACCTGAACCCGAGACCCTCATGCCCTGAGTGCTAGAAACCCCTAACCCCCAGAACCGGCAGAGCAAAAATGAAATCTTTGACATCTCCAGACTCCATACCGTCCATTCCAGGGCCCTTGGACAAGAAACCCAAAAACCTAAACCCCAAACCCTACCCGAAACTCCTAAACCTGGAAAAGGAGGCCTCCATCACAGTTCGTCGGAAAGCGTACAACAGATGCTTCACGAAGCCAGAGCTTGCCCTCAGATGGGAGGCCCTTTCGGCTTTTCAAACACTTGAAACCTCTCTGCTTGACTTCAAACATCTTAGTATTATAAGGGTTTAAGTTTCAAAATGGTCTCATCTAACAGCTCCCAAACAATTGTGCTAAAGAAACACCAAATAATTTACTGACTGATACTCCAATATCAAAGATTTCTTGAAATTGGATTGAACCAATCCTTCAAACCTGAAACCCGAGCTTGCAAAACCCTTACCGGAAACACGGACGAAAGAGCGATTATGAGGTGAACGCATCCCGGAGGTGATCTGTCAAGACTTGTTCATGATGAAGGCGCTCAGGAACCATGAATCGATAAACAAGTTCACGGTGAAGTTGAGGAAAGGCTCATGTTCTCAAGCCCCCCACTAAACTTCCTGATCAAGGAATAACCTTTCCAGTCTTCATCATGCTCTGAGGATTCTTGGGTTGAGTTGCATCAGGAAAGACCAACGATGTGACATGGCGGTTCGGATCCAAGGATGAACCTGGGGTGGCTTTGGGTTCCCCTTTTCAAAGCCTTTGCTATGTCATACTGAAGGCTGTTATGTATCCAATTGTGTGTTGAACCTGCATTGCACACGCATCCCGCTCCACACGGCTTGACTGAAATGCAAATGCTTTCACAGCCCAACCCCGCAAACTGAAATTTCTAACGAATTCAACCACAACTCCAAGCTCTCAACCTTTAGTAGCTTCAATCTAGAACAAAATTCAGAAGTCGTTCCGGGCGGCATCCCTCGAGAACGCATCCTTCCGAACCGCCACAGCAGCGGTAAAGAGTGAAACTTGCAGAACGACGTGGAAGATCTGCATGGAACGCAGCTGGCGCCTGTCTTCTCCACTTATGACCCCGTAAAGTGCTGTTACACAAACAGAGCCGAAAAGCGCACAGCCTAATGTTTACATGCTTAAGCAACACAAGTTTTCTGGTGTTCCCGCTGAGTTCTTGTGACAATCTGAAAATCTAAAATGAAGCAAAACTCAAGTTCCAGCAACACTCCACCCAGTTGGCCCCACCCAGATTTCTGAACACGGACGAACTGAAATGGCCACTGACCAAACAAGCTTATTCTGCCATGATTTGGGCCGTACGGTTGCGGGCACGCAACTACGCTTCGGAACAAAAAACCAACGGCATAAGACTTCAAGATATGCTTGATTGTCGAACAACACAAAAATCACACCACCCCTGAAAATAATATCTGATGTTGATGTGGGAATTCGAATGCCAAAAAACATAAGATCTGCAATTGAGGAGACAACACGATGTCGTTTTGTGCAATCTTGCCGTTGCACGCAATTACAAAAAAAATGGAAAACAACTCACTACTGTGTCTTAATCGAACAAAAGCTGCATGTTTGTTACGCATGTTTGGAGTTGATTTAATTTGTTATGTGCACTGTCACAACACCATGATGGTTTTTGCAGAAGTGCTTGTGAACGTTTCAAGCCCAAACACTGATTTCTGTGTGTTGGCGGCATCCGTTCCACAAAAAGCCGTCTTGCTTTTTGCAACATCTCCAACTGCATCTAGCTGGATCTTTTGAAATTCGAACCACCAAAACCAAATCCACATCACAAACCGTCCACTATGGCTCAATTCAAACTGTAAACTACACTGGGCTGGTTTTTGAGAAGTTCAATGTTCGCTGCGCAACATCAACAAAATGCCGCTTCTTTTGTTATTGCAGTTGATTCGGTTCCATTGCCCCATTGCCAGAATGCTAGACAGAACCTCAGTTCAACCCAAAGTTCAAATGTTAAGAAGAGTCAGTGACACGGGCAAGAAAACTAGAATCTCTCTTAAACAGGGGCTGGGCCCCAGACCTTCGGGCGAAGGGGGGCTTAAGGGGGGCTTCAAGGGGGGCTTAAGGGGGGCTTCAAGGGGGGGCTTAAGGGTCACCCCCTTAAGGGGGTCTTAAGGGGGGGGGGGGAGGGAGGGGGGGGGGGGGGGGGG